CACACATTTGATGGATATGTTTCCTGACAAAACCTCATTCAAATTAAACCCAAAGTGGGTTACTTTTTAAGTGCATACATCACATTGAAGACTGTTGGTTGTTGTCGTTGCTCGGTTCCATCGAATCGTTTTTCGACTCACAGCAACCCCATGTGACAGAACAGAACTGCCCCATAGATTTCCTAGGCTGCAATCTTTTTTTTTTTTTTTTTTTGTGCTTTAGATGAAGGTTTACAGAGCAAATTAGTTTCTCACTAAACAATTAATACACATATAGTTTCACAACACTGGTTGCCAACCCCATGATGTGTCAATACTCTCCCCTTCTTGACCTTGGATTCCCCATTATCAGCTTTCCTGTCCCCTCCTGCTTTCTCATCCTTGCCCTGGTTTGGTATGCCCATTTAGTCTTGTTTTGTTTCATGGGCTAGGCTGTAATCTTTACAGCAGCAGACCGCCAGGTCTTTCTCCTACAGAGCCACTGGGTGGGTTCGAACCACCCATCTTTAAGTTAGCAGCCGAAGAACGTTTACATGAGCTAAAAATTGCTTGAAACAAGTCTTCAAATACTGTGCAAGAAACCGGGCCTCTACTGTTGCAAAAGGAAAACTCAACACCTTGAGTTTCTGTAAAAGGAGGGATACCTAGACCGGGCTTCTAGAACTTTGGGGTGCAGAGTCACCTGGGGATCTTGTTAAAGTGCAGATTCTGATTCTGATCCTTGCTCCCAGGGGATGCTCATCAGGTTTGTCTGTGGACCTTACTTTGAGGAGCAAAGGTGTAGATAATCTAGGCACCTACACAGTTCACTAAGGTTCCTGGATGATGCATACAGCTGGCGCTTGGCTGCTAACCGAAAGGTTGGCATTTCAGACTTCTTCAGCAGTGTTATGGAAGAAAGTTCTGGCGATCTGCTTCCATAAAGATTACAGCCAAGAAAACCCTATGGAATTCTGTAACACATGGGGTTGCCATGAGTTGGAATAGACTCAACAGCAGTGGGTCTCTCACACAGTTCACTGAGGAAACTCTCAGTACCAATTTTTAAGCTGCAGACCTTCAAGGGAGGACAGCTTCCTATAAAGAGGTTGTTGCCCATACCCAGAACTCCTGGAGAAAGCCAGAGCCCTGTCACATCCAAACTTAGAAAAGCTGCCACAAAAAACAGACAGTCCAGAAAAGAAAGAAGGTCTGATTTCTTGATTTGGAGGAACAATCGGCAACCCCAACCCAAGAAGATGGAAAGGTCACAAAAGACCCCAAATGCCCAGGATGCAAAGGGGATGTTTAATGCTGTCCTTGATTTCTCTGCCCTGTACCCAAAAAGTTCATTCACTTTTTAAATAAGCATACATACCAGTTGCCGTCTAGCCAACTCCGACTCATGGCAACTCCATGTGTGTCAGAGTAGAAATGTGCTACATAGTGTTTTCAATGGCTAATTTTTCAGTAGAAGATCACCATGTCTTTTTTCCAAGGAGCCTCTGGGTGGACTTGAACCTCCAACCTTTTGGTTAGCAGCCAAAAGTATTAACAGTTTGCTCTACCCAGGGACTCCAAGCATACATAAAAACCAAAACCAAATCTGTTGCCATCGAGTCAATTCCAACTCATAGAGACCCAAGGATACTTAAAGACCCATTATAAATAAGGTACTGTACTGAATGCTACAGGGGGAATCCTTCAGAAAATTAAAATCCAACTAGGGAAAAATATGGAAGTTATCCTAAGAGTGACAAGAGTCCAGAAGTTCTACGGGTGTCCACTTTCTGGGTGCAGAGATAGGACAGCTTCAGGGAGAAAGTGGGGTTGGAGATGGGCAAGAGAGAGATGGGGGGAGGTAATACACACAAGGCGACTAGCCTAAGAGGAAAGAAAGGTCAGAGAAAACCAGGTATTTTAAAAAAAAAAAAAAAAAAAAACAGAGTAGTTGTCTAGTCCACTTCAACTCATGGTGACCCCATGTCTATCAGGGTAGAACTGTGTTCCATTATCCAGTGTTTTCAATGCTACAATCTGTCAAAAGTAGATCACCAGGCTGTTCTTCCGAGATGCCTCTAGGTAGACTCAAACCTCCAACCTGGCAGTTAGCAGCCAAGTGCTTAACCGTTTGCACAACCCAGGGATTCCCAGGTATGCTTTCAAGAATGGGAAATAGACCAGTTGGGCTGGAATGGAGGGTTCCAGCAGAAAACAAGGTAGGAACTGTTTACTATTGGAGATGATTGCAAAGCTGGAGGGGTATGTTGGAAGCACACCATAGGGAAGGGAAGAACAGAAACAGAACCTTTACATACTTCATTGTATTTCATACTCAACACAACTCCAGGAAGTAAGCACCTTTTCAGAGGAGGCAAACTGAGAGGTCAAGAAATCTGCCCAAGGCCACAGGGCCTGTCAATGAGTTTGAGTCCCTACTTTGCCAAACAGTTCGTCTCCACTGCCAAGGTCTCTCCACCACTCCACCCGGCTCTGAACACCAGGAGTTTGACTATATCCTGCAGGCAATGTGGAGCCGCTAAGGTTTCAGAATAGGGATACCTCATGCTGCAAGTAATGTTTACTAATGTTTAGGGATGCCTGCTTTGGCAAATGATGTGTCAAGATCACCCCTGTCCTTCCACTGTACTCCTCCTGGACATCTGAGAAAACCCATCACTGATAAAAGCAACTCCTAGGCCTGAATTACAGGCTGCAGAGCCTTGGGGGATCTGCAGGACAGCTATTCCAGAATGTGACAACTCAATTTCCTCAAAGAAACAAGGGCCTGGGGAAAAGAACCCAGACAGGGGAATAGGGATGGGAAGTGATGACCACTGACCATTCAAGCAGTTGGGGTTAAGAACCCCAGGTTTCAAACATCAAACCCTCTCCTTTTCCTCCTTCACCATATTTATCACGACAGGGATCTCAAAGTTTGGAAAGTTACTCAACCATTTACAGCATGATTATCCGAACTTCAAAATGGTCTAATCACAAACCTAGCCAGCCTAGGTCCCTTACTCCAGCCTTACTAACAGCGGGGCCTCACTACAACTCCAGTTAATTACACAGTTAAACAATGAGATGGAAAAATCTACTGTGATCTACTAAAAAATCGTTGCTCCCTGAAGTCATGCTGTCCGGGGGTGGGTTGAGTCCCCAGATTTCACTAGAAGACAGCAGGCGCCTCAGCTAAAATTGTTTACAGCACATGGACAGGTTCCACACCAAGGCACATTTGGTGGAATTGATTTAAGGCTCTCATTAAAATGTTCCTTTGTTGAGCACAAGACATTCCCCCACCCGGGAAGAGATTCCAGACCTCCTGTCCCAAGCCTTCAGCCTGCTCTAACTTTCCCCCACAGCGCCCCCCACCCCCTCAGCTAAACACCCGTCACCGGATTAACATTGATTAACTTCAGAGTCATCTTCTCATGGAAGGAATTTAGGAATTTAGCATTTGTTGAAGGAGAGCCCCAGCTCCATCAGAAATCTCCCCTGGGGGACTCTAGAACTCTAAACAGCAGCAGTGAAGGCAGACGTATATTGGACGACCTGAACACCAGAACCCAACCAGCCAACCCAGGGGCCCCTGAGCACAGGCTCACCCATATGGTTGGGCTCGGGATCCTGGCTGCACAAGAAACTTCCATACTTCCTCTGGAAGCAGATGTGGATTCTGCCAGGAGCAATAATCACCCCACACATCACAAGGAACACAGGGCAGCTCCAGAAACACCTCCTATAAATCCCTGGAGCTCGCTCTTACCTCTCTGTCCTAGGTTACAATTACCTCTCCTGTTACAACCGGGGGTGGGGCAGAAGTTGATTCCACCATCACCAAAACTCCTCCACAGCTGGCAGGCCACGAAGATGCCAGAAATGGCAATTCCTAATGCACCTCCCCCATCCCAACTGCCGCTTCTCAAAGGAGGGGGAAAAGTGACAAGCTAGGACCAGGGCTCTTGGGCAAAGTTGGGGGGAGGGTATACTTCCAATCTAGGCTGTTGGAGTATGCAGGTAGCTTGGTGCTTTTCTGTAAGGCACTTCAGCACCTCCGTGGTGACTCTCAGTGTGACCAGGCCAGAAAATAAAGGCTGCGTGGGTGAGGAGATGGGGAGGGGGCTCTGTCTGCCCTGGAGATGCGGGCCACACCCTTTTCAAAATGCTGAGTCCCTTCAAGAAAAGATAGAACGAACTCTTTTTGCCTTTCTGTCCGTGGAAAGAGATTTTCTTCCCTCCACGAGTACAGACAGACAGGATGGAAATCCAGGAACAAGCAGAACAAACCCCGTCCGCACCTTTCCAGGCCGGCCATGCCCGATTTTGGCAGCGGCCTTCACACATTAGTCACCGCGACAGCCTGGGACTCCCTGCTTCCCGAATTCGACCCCGGCAGGGAGTGAGCTGAGGACTCGGGCCCAGGAACTAGAGGAGGTGGAGCAGTCCGCCTTCACCTACAGGGCCATCTGGGGTCCCAGCTCTGCCCTGGAACTTGGAGGAAGGAAGCCAGGAGCGTCGGGCCGGCGTAGGTAACAAAGATCCCCGCTTTGCGCGCTTCAGGTCGGTCAGACATCGGGCTCCGGCCGGGCCTCGTTCACCTGGGCTGAGCCTGCCGGTCGGGGAACTCCGTCTCCCCCACCGCCAGCCACCCAACTGCACCCCCAAGGCGGGCAGTCGTATCTTCCCCGAAAACAAACTCCCCATCTGGGCCTGGCGCGGGTAACTCCGGCAAATCCCGAGCAACTCTCCAGTCAGGCCAGGAAAACTCTGTGGAGGCTGGAAACGCGTCTCCGGCGGCGCGGGTGGGCAGGGGCCTCGATCGAGTCTGCTAGGGCTTAGCCGGGCTCCTGGCCCCCGGGCTTCCTGCGCCGCTCGCACCAAAAACGAGCCTCTCCACCACTCCAGGGTTTCCTCTCCCGCCCTAGCCACCAAATCCCACCTTCCCGGGCACCTCCTTTTGCCTGAAGGGCTCCCGCGCTTCCCAAGACCCTCTCCCCAAGCTTGCCCGAACTCACCGCCCAGCAGCGGCAGCAGCAGGACGCTGAGCAGAGGCAACCGGCGGGGGCTGCCCCGGATTCCCCGAGCAGCTCCCATCGCGGCGGGCTCAGGGAGAGCGGCCGAGAGCGCACAGCGTGCGCGTGGACTGCCCTCCGCGGCTGGCCCAGGAGGCTGAGCGCACCGGAGCGCGGGCACCGCTGCAACAACAGCAGCCGGAGCCCGAGCTGGAAAGGTCCGGAGCCGGAGCCGCGCGCACCCGGTACCTCCAAGTCCTCGCGCGCCGCCGCCACGGCGAAGCCCCGCCCAGAGACGCCCCCTCCCCGCCAGCCTCCGCGCGGCGCCCCGCCCCCCCGACGCCCCCTCCCCGCCAAGGCGGGGGAGGAGCTCGCTGTTGTGGGGGAGGGATCAGAGAGGGATAGGCAACCGAGGGAGGGAGGCCCCAAGAGTGCAGGGGACTTAAGCGATGTAGGGCAGTGTAGGCTGCGCACACCGCCTACAGTCTGCAGGGGACCCAGGAAAACCAAACTGCCTTTTGTGATGCCATGGCCCCGGGGGAGGATGGTCAGTGCAGGCTCTGGGCCTTCCTGGGGCTTCCAGCAACAGGGGAGGAGGAGAGAGAAAGGGTGGGCTCTGTCTCACTCCTCGTTAAGGACAGAGGGTGACCTAGAATAGCAGGGTGTCCTGGGTGTCCCAAAGCAGAGTAACCTGGAGATACTGTGGAGCTCCAGGACAGCTGTAGCCTGGAGAAGGGGGAGGGAAGTGCGTGGCTGGGCTCTGATTGGCTCTGGACCAATCTGAACCCAAAGGTAGAAACAGACTGGGCTCTGAACACCAGGCTGAAGGCTGTTAAACTGACAAATGCATCCCAAGTCCATCTCCAGGCAGTCTGGGGCTCTGTCAGGGCATGGCCAAGTCTCCAGCTGTGGAGAGGCCCAGCACAGCCCGTGTTCCAGGCACCCCCCACCCCCAGCGCCACCACCCCCACATTCTTTCTTTGTTGTGAAAGCAGCAAGGGGTGTAGGAGGCGGGTCAAGAGGAGTCAAGCTTTAGAAGATGGGCCCCAGCTGCTGCTCAGGCCGCCAGGATATGCCGAGAGGGGATGGTTAGTGCCTCTTCCCACCCTCTGGCTCCGGAGGCCCCCCAGGCCTGCAGAGACCTCCCTTCCCCCAAGCAGCTGGGAGGAGGAGGGGCAGCCACAGAGCCTAGAGCAGTGGCGCCAGGACTCCAGGGTCCTGCCACATGGCCACCACATGTCCCCAACAACCCAGTCTATAGCACCTTCTCCTTGGGTTGTAGGCCTCCTCCCACATCCCCCAGATGCCTTCCTGCAGGCCTTGCTGAAGAGGATACTAACGGGAAGGAAGAGAGGAGAGATCCAAGAATCAACACTCCTCCTGTTGCCCCATCCATCATTGCCCCTCACCCTTCTGTGAAGGTGTCTTAGTTATCTAGTGCTGCTATAACAGAAATACCACAAGTGGGTGGCTTTAACAAACAGAAATTTATTTTCTCACAGTTTAGGAGGCTAGAAGTCCGAATTCAGGGCGCTGGCTCTATGGGAAGGCTTTCTCCGTCGGCTCTGGAGGAAGGTCCTTGTCTCTTCTGAGCTTCTGCTCTTGGGCAGTCCTCATGTGGCTTGGCATCTCTCTTCCCCGTCTCTGCTTCTCTCTCTCTGCTTCTCTCACTTGCTTGTTTAATCTCTTTCATATCTCAAAAGAGATTGACTCAAGACACAACATACACTAATCCTGTCTTATCAACATAACAAAGACAACCTATTCCCAAATGGGATTATAACCACAGGCATAGAGGTTAGGGTTTACAACATATTTTGGGGGACACAATTCTATCCATAACAGAAGGACCCCAACACGATCTCTTCTTTCTACCCTCTTCAATCAGGATTCAAGTGGCAATCAGCAATCAAGTGTTTACCTGATCCTTTTATTTAAGAAAAGTGAAATACACGGACCTGAAGTGAGGCAGCAGAGGCAAAAGAGAGAGGCCATGGCAAGGCGGCTTGGCTGGCCAGCCCCCAACCCCTGTGATAGAGAAGCCAGCAGCTGGTGGCATCTCTGAGGTCCATAACTGCTTCTTACCCACCTTAGGGGCCTCAGAGTTAGCTATTCAGAGGACCATAGGGTGGGGAGAGGGTGTCCTGAGGGTCCTTCCTGAGGGGTATTCCTGAGGAGGGAGCAGAAACCCTAAGGACAGAAGCAATCCCCGATTAAACTGCTCCCCCTCATTGTCCCACCTTGGGATGGGGAAGAGCTAGGAGCAATGGGGAATGCTGTGAGGGCTGTGATGGGACCCAGCAGACCTGGGAGAGTTGGTTGAATGTCAGCTGCTTGATGAGAGGTCCATGGTACTGGCACTGAGGCCCCGGGAGCCCTGAAACAGACAACGCTCCATCAGCCCAGAGACCTCCACCTCCAAAGGCTGTCCCCTGGACTCCAGACATCTCATGGCTGCGATATATCTCTGGACCTAGGATTGAGCCTTTAATCTTAAACCCAAGCTCTGGAGTTTAGTGTAGCTGCTGCTAGGATTTTCCAGGAGGCCACAATCTGGTGGAGAAAATACCTGGAAGAGCCACATGAATATTGGCATGTACTTTGAATGTGCTGATACAAGTAGTCATTTTCTACTAAAACATCATTAGGATTTTCTTGAATGGAGATTATTGTATTTTTTTTCCTTTTTCCCATCTCATCCACTACCAAGTTCCCAAGGTGAGGAGTATGGTGGCAGCAGGAGGAAAAGCAATTAGTAGTACCTCCAAATCCAAATCATTCTTGAATTATTTCATCATCCCAAAGTACCAGTTTAGAGAACAGAAATTCCTATTTTCCTCCTGATTAACTTATTTACTACTAACTCCAACCCAAAACTGTCCCTTGGTGGTCACCACCCCTAAAAAGTTGTCTGCCTGATTCCTTAATGACTCCAACTCCCTGGCTAGAGTCTTCACTTCAGGGGGTCTCCCCTCTAACCAAACTCCCACTGGCCTTGCTTTCTGGCTGTCCTTTCTTTCTAACCAATATGCTCACGAGCAGTGCTCTCACCTGGAGGGGTGCTGCATTGGGCTGGTTCAGATAGTTCAAGGAGGCTGCCCGCTTCATGTTGCTGCTGCAATGGAAAAAGAAATAACTGAGGCCTCCTCTCTTCTTCTTGAGTGGCCCTAAAGCTTCAGGCCTCTTTGGCACTGCCATCACCCTTGAGGCCTTGATCTCAAATTGCTGCCTCCCCACCATCCCCCATATATACATACTCTTTCTTCATCAGTAACCAGTATCTCCTCAGGCACCCTCGTTCCCCCTTGGGGACACCCATTCTGACCAAACTCTCTCTCCATGGCCATCCCCTTGACCTCCTCTACGTTTCTTTCCAAGGTGCTTCTCCTCTAGAAATCAGGAGTCAAGAGGAGCTGGAGGCAAGGGTTTACCTGCCTGCTCTGCCACATCACAACCTGTGTACCTGGAAGGTCGAGGCTCATTCCCCTGGAGCTTCCTCACCAGGAGCTCACTGCTTCGACGAAGCACATCCCGAATCTTGCCCAGTGAGCCACTCCTCTGCAGGGTCCCACTTCCATCCTGGGGGGGAGGGGTGGGATGGGGAACAGAAGCTAAGGAGACTCCATGCAGACTAGCTTCTGAGTCTACTTCTGCCATTTATTCTGCATACCCTTCCCCACAAGGCTCAGTGATTGAAAACAAGAGCTCTGTCAAAAGTTCACTCCCAGAGTTACCCCTGATAGGGATGGAGCTAGGTGGACTAGAACGGGACAACGTGACCTTGAATCCTACATAGGCCTGGGGAGAAGTAGGCTCAGAGACTCTCACGACTGCCAGCAAGAGTGGGCAGGAGAGCAAGTGTTTATTAACTTGTTTATTAATAACCAAAGTTTATTAGTTGTTACCAGGGGCGGGCAGGAGGGAGGAGGAAAGGGGGACTCATTGCTTAGAGGACATCATTGCTTCTGTTAAGCATGATGGAAAAATTTGGAAACAAATAATGGTGATGGTTGAACAACATGATGAATGTAATTAATGTACTTATAAAAAATGTTAAGATGGTTAACGTTTTATTACATATATATTTACCACACACATGCACACAAAAAGAGTGGGCAGGAGAGGTCAAAGGGCAACGGTCAGACTTACCCCTGACCACTCCACAGCCACAGAGACATCTTCACCTCCTTCAAATTTCACGCTCCCTGGGCTCTCCTGGGAGGTCCTTCTACCATCACCCTCTCCAAGCAGCTCTGCCACCTTGGTCTGGCTGATGGGGTCGGTACCCTGGAAGGAAAAGGAAGGAGTTGAGACTTCCCACTTCTTAACTCCTCAGGATGGGGCTTTCAAACTTTTTTTGACCATCAGTCACCTCAAAGTAAACATTTTACTTTGTGATGTCTCAGTACATGTATATTAGAACAGTACTCATCTTTACTATTTGCAATGCATTCCTATACCTAAATAGATGTATATTTTTAGCCATGAGCCACGCTGAATTGATTTCAGATCTGCAATTTGAGAAACTCTGATTTAGGGGTCCCCTCACCCACACCACCCATGCCCCTCCTGAGTAGACTCTTCAAAGGCCAGCTTGTGAAAAGGCAGAACTTTAAAATTCCCATTCAGTGAAGTAAAGCTTGAACCTGCAGTTCTGACCACAAAGGGCAAGTGGAGGGCAAGATCATGCTTAAAAACAAGCGTTAGGCTGCTCACCTTCCTCTCCCTCCTACCCTCCTCATCAGCCTCTCCTCTTGTTCTTGGGAGACTTAAGAGAAGCCTCAGCGGTCCCCCCTTCCCCAGGACCTCCTTTCCCCAACCTCCTTCTCCGCCATGTCTCTGACCTGTTTCCGGGAACGCAGGGCACATTCCTCCAGAGTCTCAGCTGCCTCCAGCTTTCCCTGGCGCCTGTACAGAGCTCCTAGGTTCCTCAGAGTAGTGTTCACTGTGGGGCTGTGGGGAGCGAGACCAAGGAAGGAAGAGAGAACAGGTTCAGAAAAGCAAACAGTAGAAAAAGGACGTAGAGCTAAAGCTGAGGGAAGGTCAAAGGGAAGAAGGGAAAAGGTCTCGGAGGCTGGGACCAGGGACTGGATGGAGGGCACTGGGCATCGGAGGCCGAGCCGGTTTCTCACTGGCAGCTCACCTGCTCACTTTGCAGGCCTTGTACCAGCCTCCGTACTCAGCGTAGGGTGTACCACCATCACGGTGCTGGCTCTGCAGGACAGAGGGGGCAGTGAGCCAGAGATGAGAGTACAGAGGTGCTGGGGCACAAGCTGGCATGGGGCTAGGATGTAGGCTGGGCTGGGGAAGGCACCATGCAGCTGGGGTTGGTGCTCGGGTGGGAAGTGAGGAGCTGGCTTAGTGCAAGGAGTATGACAGAGGCCTTGGCAGCCTCGGGCTCCCAGGCTGGACTCCCCACTCACTTTGCTCATTTCCTCCCGCTCCTCTGCATGCATCCAGATGGGCTTGTGGTCGTCTGCGGGTGATACATGGGATAGGGTGGGCAGGTTAGAGAACTGATCTGGACAGTGTGGGGGGAGCCAGGGCCCAGAGGCCAACAGGGCTGGACTGAAAGGGTCTGGCTCCCCCTGGGAACCACTGTGGCCTAACCGCCCACCTGTGGCCTACAGTTTTTTTCCTCCCTGCAGTCCCCTCCCTAGGCCTTCATCACTCACCATCCACAGACCCAAACTCCTGCACATGGGCACGGGTCAGGATCTCTTTGTACAGTATCTCAGCCTCAGCATATTTGCCCTGTTTCAGGTAACAGGAAGCCTGGAAGGCAGGAAGCCAAAAAGCAAAAGCCAGAGATGGTCTTAGCCAGGGTCTTAACCAGGCTCAGGAGTTTCTACTTCTTCGCCCCTTTATGACTTTCCCAGAGATTATCCTCACACCTCTTTTTACAGCTGCATGGTGAAGGGTATACCCACCCCACTCCCAGGAGGCTATGGAACTTCTGCCTTCCCAGTGGAATGAAGCAGACCCCAGTCCTAAAGGCAGCCCCAGAGATAGGCACAAAGGGGAGCAGGTTTCTGATTCCAGGACCCAACTGTCCTTTCCCTTCCCTGCCTTCCGCCTACTTTACCCCTTCCTCCCTTACCAGGTTGTTCTTGGTCCGGGCTACATTAGGGTTGTCTGGCCCCAGCTGCCCTTCATAGATGGCCAGAGCCCGCCGGTAATAGCGCTCCACGGCCTCATACTTGCCCTGGTTCTGGCACAACAGGGCCAGGTTGTTCAGCTGCTTTGCCACATCTGGGTGGTCAGCACCCAGGACCTGGTGGGGGAGCAAAAGAGCCAAGAAATGATTGTTCGTGAGTGTGTGTATGTGCGTGTGTGCACATGTGAGGAGCAGAGGGAAGGGAATGATGGATGAGGGAACAAGGCAAAGATGGGAGTGAGGGAAAAGTGAGGGAGAAGGGTAGACTAGAAGGACAGATGGTGGAGAAGGCGTCACAGCAACAAGGGAAGAACAGAGAGGCAATGTGGGCACCTTTTCACGAATCTCCAGTGCCCGCTGGCACAGTGGCTCCGCCTCCTTGTATTTGCCCCTTTTGCCGTAGAGCACAGCCAGATTATTGAGTGTGGCAGCCACCTACAAAGAGAGGCTTGTCCCCATCAGACATCAATGCTTGCAAAGGACCTACAAGAATCTGACACCCAGCAGGGCCCCATACTGCACAACTCCAAGGCTGAGGGAAGAGAAAATTACCACACAGGATAGGTCTGAGGTTCTCTAGTCGTCCCTGGGTGGTGCAAATGGTTAACACACTCAGCTGCTAACCGAAAGACTGAAGGTTCAAGTCTACCCGGAGGCACCTCGGGAAAAGGCCTGGCAATCTACTTCCAAAAAAATCAGCCCCTGAAAACCCTATGGAGCACAGTTCTACTCTGACACACATGGGGTTGCCATGAGTTAGAATAGACTCAATTTGCAACTGGTTGTTTGCTGTAGGTTGAAGCTCTCTAGAGGAGTAGTCTAGGAGCCCTGGTAGCGCAGTGTTAAAGTGCATGGCTGCTAACCAAAAGGTCACTGGTTTGAACCCACCAGCCACTCCACGGGAGAAAAATGTGGCAGCCTGCATCCATAAAGATTTATGACCTTGGAAACTCTGTGGGGCAGTTCTAACTCTGTCCTATAGGGTCACTAGGGGTTGGAATCGACTCGACTGCAGTGGTTTTTTTTTTTTTAATGGGAGTTGTATTGCCCCATAAGGGGATTTTTGGAAATTTCTGGGTGAGTGTTTTGGTTGCATAAAGACTGGGGCACTGTCACCTTGGTTGAGGCAAGAACCTACAGATGTTCTGCATGTGTAGGACAGCTTTGCCAACTTTTGAATGTCCTGCCAGACATTAAAACACTGAATGTCTGCTTTGACAATCGGTGGGCTATCAAGATGGGAGCTATGTTTTCTGGGATACATCATCCCTGCCTGTCACATGTTATAAGGAATTATTTTCACACTGTCAGCTCATTTTCAAAAACGTCCTATTTCTCATTTTCTTCTCTTTGACAATCTATAATTTGTCTTGGCATGCTATCCCTACTTAAGGTTATTTCTCTCTTTCTCTTATCACATACAAATAAATCTAGTCTGTGATTACTTATTCTAAGACTGGCTTTTAATCTAGTACAGGTAGTCCCCGACTTACAATGGAGTTCCATCCTGACAACTCTGTCGTAAGTCAGTTCTGACGTAAGTTGAATACCTCAATTTTCTTTTTAAGTTTTCATTATTATTGCCTTTTATTATAAGTATCTTTATAAATCCAGTTTTTAATTTGTCTTGGGGGTTGAAAACATTGCATATAAATGTACAGATATGTTTTAACATTGTATGTGATACATATTACTAACGATAAAATGTAAAAAAAACAAAACAAAACACAGTCATAAGTGCAGTTCATTGTAACTCGAATACGTTGTAAGTTGGGGACTACCTGTATCCCCCGCCCCCCATACTTCTGCTCTTTCATTTTACTAGTACTTCTTATATGGAATGGCTTCTGCTTGCTCTTCTCCTAAATCCAACTAAATTCATTATATATAAGCATCTAACTACGTTTTTATGACTTCTAACATAGTTGTACTCAGTATTATTTTCTTATAAATTACTTCCCTTGTTTTTCTTTTATATTAATTAGGGTATCTTATTGGCTTTGGGGGAAATTATATGTGTAGGCAGGTTACATTATCTATGGATTGCATTTTAGGAAAATATTCATTATAAAAAAGGAGTCATTGGGTCTCAGAGAGTTGAGAACCACTAGGATCACTGGGCAGTGGCTGGAAGAAAGGAGTCCTCACAGCTCCTTCCTTAAGCACCCCGAGTGGCCTGAGGGCAGCGATGGACAACCCAAGAGAGACTGAAAGGGTGTGGGGGTTGGGGGGAGAGAAGGAGGGAATACTGACAGCAGGGTGGTCCCGGCCCAGGGTGCTCTCTCGGATGCTGAGGGCATCATTCAGTAGATGGGCAGCTTCCTTATACTTATTCTGGTCCCTGGAAGAGTACAAGAATAAAAGGGGTTACCTGGAACTCTTCCCCCAAGCCATCTCCCTCCCTTTGTGAGAGCTGAGGTATATTTGAGGATTGGGGGCTCCCATGAAGCGACAGAAAGCCTGGTGTGGACAGTGAGAGGGGTTCACAAATACACCCATACCTGGCTGCAGAACACTGCCATCCCAAGAAGAGACCACAAGTTATAGGAAGCAAGAGACAGAAACAGAGAAGAAAGAGACCCTCCCCAAACTAGAGACTAGGAAGCAAGGAGCCTGAGAAATTAGTACTCTCTGAGGTCAAGGACACAGATATAGAAAAAGGAAGAGTTCTGGGACATGAGAAAGCACTCTAGTCAGGTGTATCTGGGAGGACCAGCAGGGAAGAGAAGAGGAATGGAGGCCAAAGGAGGGTCAAGGTGGGAATCTGGAGGAAGATTTCATGGTGACAGGGGAGGGCAATACTCACCGATATACCAAGGCGAGGATGTTGAGCATGGTGGCAACATCGGGGTGGCCACGGCCGGATGTGCGCTCCAGGTCCTCTAATGCCTGCTTGCAGAGTGGCACAGCCACCTCATAGCGACCCTGGGCTGCGTACTGGATCACCAGGTTGTGCAGCGTCCGCAACCTTGCTGGGATTTCATATCCGCCTGGCTGGGTGCCCTGGCCACGGGACACTAAGCCATCCCAGAAAATGTACAGAAGACTTCCTCAGAGGCCTCTTCCTCTCCACTTTGCTGTCTACCCTTCCCACCCCCATTCTGTGTCCTGTTCCCAGGCCCACACTCACCCCCCACCAGGCCTCTCACTCAAGACCTGCCTCAATTGCTACACTTTTGCTCACTCCCTTGCACAGTCCCATTTGTTCACCCAATAATTCATTCATTCAATAAACATGAGTTAGGGGCTGTGCCAGGAATACAAAGGTGACAAAGACTTGGTTCTTTCCCTTGAGGCAATCACGCTCTTCCCACTTCTACTTTGAGGTCATTCTCCCAATAGACTGTGAACTCCTTAACAGTGAGACCTGTATCTTTTTCACCTTGGTATCCCTAGTGCCTAGCACAGCACCTGACATAAATTAAGTTGTTTGATGAATAAAGGGGACACTGAGGAAATCTAACTACTAGCCCAGGTCCCTGCCCTATCTTCAGAGGAAGTGGAGAACCTATTTCTGGATGGTAAGCATACTGTGTACAGGGTGGGCCACAGCTGGGACCAGCCTCCTGCTACCCCTCATCACATTCCAACTCCAGAGGCAGACTCACAGCCATTGCTGGGGTCCTCTTCTTCTTCATTGGGGAAAAGGTCATCCAGGGAATCCTTGGTAGCGTCGCCCTCTTTCTCCTCCTGGAAGAGAAGCAGCAGCATGTCAGGTCTGAGATATCACCAACAGCCTCTTCAAGTGCCCCTCTAAGCCATGAATGCACTGACAGATGGGGCCTAGGAGAAGACCTTTGTTTATGCCTCTGCCCCTAGGAAGGTGAGCATCTGGCCCTGGCAAACTCAGGCCTCTCTTGTTTGTTAAAACCAAGAGATGCTTAGGCCAAAATCTCCTAACTTTCCCTTCCTTCACATCCAGGAAATTTCCTTCCAACCACTCTCATTCTCTAGCCTCCCCTCCTCCTCAGCTCTTGTAATTATAGCTGATTATCCCTGTGCTGATCCCTGTGTGTTTATACATGGATTATATGTCTCTCCTGTCTCTCCTGAGAGCAGGGAGTGTGTCTAAGCTTATGGACACGTACCCCAGGGGTGTCTAGCTCAGCCCTGTGTCCATCATTTGCCACTCTGGACTTAGCACCCAACCTTCACTGTCTAACCTACTTCCCAAACTGGGCAAATCTGCTTTTCCCCACCAGGAATTGCAGCTTTGTACAAACGCCTCCAGCCCCTCTGGCCAGCTTCACCAGTCTGTGTCCTATGCAAATCATCTCACTTTCCTTGGGACATACCAGCTTTCCAGTCCTGCAGCCTTATCTGTGACCTCCCAGTCTAGAAAGCTCCTCCCTCTCCCTTCCAAAAACTAAACCAGTTACTGATGAGTGGACTCTAACCCATGGCAACTCCATATGTGTCAGAGTAGAACTGTACCCCATAGGGTTTTAATGGCTGATGCTTTCAGAAGCAGATCGCCAGGTCTTTCTTCCCAGGTTCCTGTGGGTGGACTTGAACCTCTAACCTTTCAGTTAGCAGCTAAGCACATTAACTGTTCACACTAGCCAGGGACACTCCCTCTCCCCTACCATCCATTAAAATCCATCCCAGCTCTAAACCCATTCAACTAGCAAATCCAGCCCAAATCCTACCCATCCCTGTGCCCTGCCTCGTCTATGATTCCTCAGACCTCTCAGCACTCAGGAACCTATCTCCTTGGAATTCCTGCCACACTGACTGGACCATTCATCCAGCACTGAGCACCTGCCACTCTGAATCGTCACATACGTGATCTCACATGTAAGACTTGCCCCTGCATCTACATTATAAGTTGAAGAAGGCAGGAATTATCTTTTATAGTTCCTTATATCTCCCCTACACACACCTTCTCACACTGCATAAGGCACAGACCTATATAAATGCCTGTTGAGTGAAAGTTAAATTTTTCATGTTTCGAGAGCAAACTTTCTTACTCATCTAGGCTATGCTTTCCCTTATTGGAGCACTTAGGATTCTGGACTGGAATTGTTCAGGTACTTCTCTGTCTCCAGCCCTCCTGGCCAGCTTCACAAGTCTGTGTCTTATGCAAATCAACTCCTCACTTTCACTGTGCCCAGCATATAGTAGACACTTAAGGAAAGTGTCGGTCAAATGAATGAATATTGTTTCCCCCTTGCTGTCATCTGGAGTTGTCAGGCTTGAAAAAAGAATTCTGCCAGATGGGGGCAAGTCAGGCAGAGCTGCTGACCCCATGGATGAAGGGTCAATTGCCCCCACATTTGTGTACTCACTGCGGTGTGCCCATCCTCATCATACTGCCTCAGCTGCCCCAGGAACTCCAGGTGCTTCTTCTCCTCCTCCAGCTGAGCCACAGCCTGTTCACTGTGCTGCAGCCGCTGCTGGGTGCCTGCCAGCTCATCCCGGAGCCACTGGTTTTCCTGGCACAGCCGCCGCACCTGAGCCCGCAGCTTCTGTTTCTCCGACTCCACTGTGCTCAGGTGGTTGGCTAGAGCCAGCATCACCTGGGGGGGGCAGATCCTGTGAGCTCCACACTCTGGATGGGAGCATTCAGGGGTAGGTGGGAAAGGAGACTGTTGGGAGGCAGCAAGACTGGCAGGGATGCAGGAAGGTCAGGAGGTGTAGACCATGCTGGGGTGGGTAGCAATGGCTCTACCTTCAACATGTACCCTGAATCCAACTTCTCACCACATACACTGCCACCACCCTGGGCTTGGCCACCATCATTTCCCACCCAGATTACAACAGCCTCCTCACTGGTCTCCGTTTCTGCCCTTGTCCCCCTAAGTCAAACCAGCAGCCAGATGAATCCTTTTAAAATGTTAAGTCAGACCACATCACTACTCTGCTCAAAACATCTCAATAGCGTCCATCTCATCCAAAGTAAAGGCAAAGTCTTTATGATGGCCCACAAGTTTCACACGCTCTGTCCCCCTCTCCTTTAATCCCATCACCTCTCAAACTTCATTTTTCTACTTTGCTTCCCTTCATTCACGCTTCTCCAGCCACACTGGCTCCTCACTGGTCCTTGAACCCACCAGATTCCAGTTCAGGGCCTTTGCACATGCTGTTCTCTTTGCTTAAGATGCTCTTCCCCTAGTTATTGCACAACTCACTCCCTCACCTTTGAATTTCTGTTCAAATGTACCTTCTCAGGGAGACCTTTTTGGACCACTCTATCTAAAATTAAGGAGCCCTGGTGGCACAATGGTTAAGAGCTCGGCTGCCAACTGAAAAGTTAGCAGTTTGAGCCCACCAGCTGCTCCAAGGGAGAAAGATGTGGCAGTCTGCTCCCGTAAAGATTTATAGCCTTGGAAAACCTATGGGGTAGTTCTACTCTGTCCTTTAGGGTCGCTATGAGTCAGAATCGACTTGACGGCACAGGTTTGGTTTTTTTTTTAATCGAAAATTGTGTCTTCTCTGCAAATGCCATAACCCCCTATGCTGCTTTATCTCTATTCTTAGTACTTACCACTCTGGCATACTGAATCATTTACTTATTTGTGTATTGTCTGTCCCTCCTCCCCCCAGCTAGAATGTAAGCTCCAAGATGGTGAAGAGTTTTGACTGTGTTCACTGATGTAGCTTCAGTACCCAGAAGGGTGCCTGGCACATAGTAGGGACTTAATATTTACTAAATGAATGAATGTACACATCTAGGACAAAGGGATCCCATGTGGCCCTAAGTCTCCAATCAAGACTCTAGTCTGACACCTGCTCCTTCATTCACCCTGGTTCACTTGGCACCACCTCCGCCATCTCACCTGGGCCTCACTCAGCCCCAGCTCGATGTTTTCCATGGAACGGCGCAGCTGCCTGGCCTTCTCATGCACCAGCCCTTCCTCATGGCCTCCCTGCTGCAGACACTCGATGGTGTGGGACAGACTTTGCAGCACAGCTTGGTGTTCACTGTGTAGGGCCTCCAGCCCCTGGCTCACCAGCCGAGTGCTCCCCAGGATCTCCTCCTGGCTCAGTCGGTGCCCTGCAGGCTCATCCCGCTGCCCCAACACCAGGCCCGACATCCTGGCCAAGGGACCTCACCTGGGCTAGGAAGAAACAACAAAACTTAGCTGTGGCAAGGAAAAGAATGAGGCTGAGCTCTATGGTTTGAGGGTGGTGGGGATCCAAGAGACGGGACAAGAGAAGGTATGGGTAACCTATGGCTTAGTTGAGGAGACAGAGAGACCAGTGGGGAGGGAGCCTACAACACTAAACACAAAGCTAAGGATGTGGGCAAAGAGGGAGGGAGAGAAATTGAGTTTTGGAGAAACAAAACTAGAAGGAACAAAAGTGCTTAAAACTACCACAGGGATTTAGGACTTAGCAATGGAGCAGAAAGGGAGGTGGAGAGAGAAAAGGAATCAGGGGGCAAGATACAGAACCACAGGAATCAGAGAGGGTGTTTGGGGAGGGCTACAAAGTGAACACAGAGCCCTGATGGCGCAAAGGTTAAGCCCTCAGCTGCTAACCAAAAAGGATGGAACACACCCAGAAGCTCCACAGGAGAAAGACTGGCGATCTGCTTCTGTAAGGATTACAGTCAAGAAAATCCTATGGGGCAGTTCTACTCTGTCACATGGGATCACTATGAGTTGGAACTGACTCGATGGCACCCAACAACAAACGGAATAGGGTTAGAGTAGAAAGGAGACATGCAGAAAATAGTGCAGAGCTTTCAAAAAAGGGGGGGGATAAATCAGGGAGGAGAGGGAAAAGAAGAAAGTAGGAGCCTTCATTGCAGGACCCATGTGAGAGGGCCCCAGAAGGGTCAAGGTCTTCAGGCTTAGTTATCCACAGAGCATCTCTAAAGCAGGTCAGTCCTGCCTCTTTCCCCACTAGCCTTCAACCCATACTTCCCATCCCCAGGGTCTCAGGCTGGCTTCCCACTTCCTCAAAAGGATCTTGTTTTTCACCTTTGAAATTCTCTTACCTGTACACAGAGCAGAGCCCTTCCTTGGCTTCGGAGGCGGAGCTCAGGCCAGAGCCCGGAAGAAACTCTGCTCAGCAGCCAAGGATCTGCCCTGCCCAAAGTCCAGGAGTCCAGCGTTCCCACCCCTCTCACCAACTCACAGCCACCCAGAGGACCTGGCACAGAGCCCCACCCAGGACGAACACCCTCCCTCCCCTTGCCTACAGGTTTTCAAACACAACCAATGTCCCTCCTCCATCCCCAACCCAGCCTTCCACCCCAGGCCTGAGGGACTAATTTCTCCTAAGGGAGTGAGAGACTTGATCAGAGACCTAAGGCGAGTAGCGTGTCTGAGAAAGGGTGAGGAGGAAGACCTGGTCATTCTCAGCCCAGTCACCTCCATGGCTTTGTTCCCCCGAGGCCAAGTTAGGGTAACTCCCTGCTCTCTGTCACGATCACCTACTAACAGGCTCTGAGAAGAGTCACCTTAGGGTGCCTCCCAAACCCCTGATGATGTAGGGAAGAATAGCAGGTCTGCTGAGCGGCTGCGGGGTCACAAGGAAACGCGGCAGTGGGAATTGGTCTTCCGGGACTGGGGGAATGGGGTTGAGGAGTGTCCCAGGCTGTCGACCTGCCCTGAGGGCCCAAGGTGGGGGTAGGGTGATAAGGGGCGGGGAAGGGGAGGTGATAATGGACCGCGAGATCGGCGTCGCAGGCGGGGACCCGGCGGCGGACAAGCCCGAGGTCAGTGAGTCAATCGGTCGCGAGGGGGCGGGGCAGGCCGTCTGTCTTTCTGGACGCTGAGGGGCGGGGAAGAACCACGGAGGGCGGAGTTTTTGAGTCTGTCTCGAGTCGTGTAAGGTCTGTCGGAGGGAGTTGTCCACCTGTCTGGGCGTGTGGGAATAAGAGGTGGTGGGACCTTCGACCCTCAGCCCCAGAGGTACTCTCAAAGACTCACCAGCAGTCCCTCGGTCTGGCTGCAGCCCTTGCGAATACTGCCCCTTTAAATCCATCATGGCTGCCGCTCGAGGCAATTGTTTTGACGGCTCCCAGGGGCGGGGCTTGTTCCCCTGTCACGCTACCAAAGAGCCGCTCAGGGATTGGCTCTGACCACGCGCAACGAGAAAAGGAGGTGTGTATCCAGTTTGTGTGTGCGTGTGTGCCCGCCTCTTTTACGTTATTAGGGAGAGACGGCACCAGGAGTAGTTAGCGTCATCCGCGAGCGCCAGGCAGCCGGGCTAAAGGCAAGGGTGGTGTGCCGAGCCCAGTGGAACCTTGCCTGTCCCATGGCCTTACGGGTACTGACCCGCACTCTGGGTTCCCTGAGCCTGGCACCCCCGGCCGCCTCCACCCCCGCCCAGAACCTCCTCCCCGCCGCCCAGGTAATCCTCCTCACAGGGAAATGAGTTTCCGTTCAGGCCGCCAGGGACTGGGAAGCAGCGGATGGGAGTCTGGTCAGGAGTCACTGTTAGCCTCAGCTTTGTCCTCTCTGTAAGATGGTGATAACCTCACAGGGCCGCTGGCGTCCTCAGACGACATACTGGAGGCGAAAGTGCTTTGCAGATCACTGGTTGTACAGGTTTCAATAATAACTAACATTTACTGAGTGTCTGCTATAAGCCAGACATAAGTAATTGCGGCTTTAAGTAAATGAACTCCACTCCACTACTCAATAAGGTGGTTATTGTCTTTCACATTTTACAGATGAGAAAACTGATAGGCAATCCAAGGTCACACACCAAGTAGTGCAGCTAGGCAGTCTGAATTCAGAGCCTGGACTCTTAACCATTATAATACACTAACTACAAGGATGAGTTATTGCTGAGATTTGAGACTGTAGGGCCAGATACCAAGAATAGGGACCTCAGGTGAAGGTATCATGAGCTCCCTAGTGGGTGAAGGGAATGAACTGAGTGAATATGTACCGGGCCTCTGTAAGTCACAGAAAAAAGTATTTTGTAGGTCTTATTCCTCTGAAGTTCTTGGGCTCATGGGAGAGTTTGACAGATGTATACGTGAAATTCAAAACCAAACCATCCTACTCTATGATATGCTGGGAATACAGCAGGGAGCAAGCAGAAATGATTCCTCCACTCCATTCATATGTGAAAGCTCCCAGAAACAATGCAGATGGACAGAGGACATTGGTGGTGGTGGTGGTGTGGTACCTGGATGTGTGGAAGTTGGCAGCTCTGGGGAATGGAGTTGTTCAGGGTAAAGAAAAGCTTCCAGGAGGAGAGTTTTAAGCCATATTTGGAAGAAGATGCCCCAAGGGGAGAACATTCCATTGAAGAAAGAATTCAGAGATGAGACAGGATCAAATGAAGGGAAGTAATCGAATAGAGGGTCAGCGAAAAAGAGAAAGACCCTCAACGAGATGGATTGACACAGTGGCTGCAACAGTGGGCTCAAGCAGAGCAACTATTGTGAGGATGGTGCAGGACTGGGCAGTGTTTCATTTTGTTGTGCATAGGGTCACTATGAGTTGGAATAAATTGGAAGGCACCTAGTAATAACAGCAACAACAAATCAACACACATACACCTGGATAAATACTCTGCACCGATATCTGTGCAAACTGTGAAGGGTGGAGTTTTTGGACAGCTGGTCTGGGGCATTTCCAAGAGGACGTGAGCTACAAGCTAAAATTGATCTGTGTTTTCGCTCTTGGTCTCTGATTTTTCTCCTTCAATTCGCTTTCCAAGTGAAAGAGATTTCTGTTTATCTCTAGGTGATACGCAATGCCTTCCTCCAGCCACTCTTTGCCTCGAAGTTGCTCCCCTGCCGCCCAGTCCTTACCTTTGTGGCCCTTAATGCCAAGTTTGTATCCTGGAAGAGTCATACCAAGTATACCGTTACACCAGTGAAGATGAAGAAGTCTGGGGGCCGAGACCACACAGGTGGGAGTGAGGTCAAAGGGCTTTAAGCAGTAAAGGGGAAAAACATAGTAGGACTCTAGGCCTGTATTTTGACACCTTGTGGGACAGAGGAATGTAATTAAAAACAATTTATTGGGCTCCTTCTGTATGTGGTATGTGTGTAGGAACCAGAGCATGGGATACAAAGCAATAGACGAGGTTTGTGCTCCTAAAGACAGTCTTGGTAACTGAAGAAAATTGGCCGTACAGAGGAAATGCCATGACATTTTTCTTTACACCATTTGAAAATTTACAGTTGAAATTGAGCACTATTTACACAGCTCCCTCAGTAAACTACTGAATTCAGTAATTTGAAGAGATTTTTTTGGAAGTTGTATTCAATTTCAATGTTTAATATCTTCCCTAACACTTTACATTTTCATTTTTCTTATTTCCTTCATTGTAATTACATTATTCTGTAGTTTACCAAGTTTCACGTAGATGCTTTGCCACCCGCCTTATGCCAGTATGCTGTGAAAATTTTTATTATTTTCTACTTGTGCCCTAATGTTGGGAATCACTGCTTGTTCTCTGTGCTGGGAGTGAAATTAGTTTGACCTTGATCATGTCCCCACACTGTCCTGACCACAGGCCGCATCCAAGTGCATGGCATCGGCGGGGGCCACAAGCAGCGTTACCGAATGATTGATTTTCTGCGATTCCGGCCCGAGCAGGAGGCCATGCGAGGACCTTTTGAGGAGAAGGTCATTGTTGTCCGCTATGATCCCTGTAGGCAAGTTTGAAATGTGGGGCAATGATAGTGTGTCTGATTGACTGTTCTGTGGCTTGTCACTAGACATGGGCCTGCCTAGATGGTCTGCTTACCTGTCCCTCACCCTGAACAGGTCAGCACACATAGCTCTGGTTGCTGGGGGCAGCCGGAAGCGCTGGATCATTGCCACAGAAAACATGAAGGCTGGAGATGTAATCCTCAACTCTGACCACATAGGCCAAATGGCAGGTGAGGGATGGTTGTCAGATGCATGTGGGCAGGGAGGCTGTGAGCATTCTAGTGCTGATGAAATTCTGTCTTTTAGTTGCTGCTCAGGAAGGGGATGCACATCCCCTCGGAGCCCTGCCCGTGGGTACTCTCATCAACAACGTAGAGAGTGAGCCAGGCCGGGGGGCCCAGTATATCAGAGCTGCAGGTATGGAGAAGGGAGCTGCCTGGGGCCCTAGAATTTGAAAGGGCAGGGGGTACCTGAGGTCACAATTCTCTGAACCTGTGGGCCTACCTGTGGTCCACTGCAAAGAGAAAGAAGGAAAATCAGGATGAAGATATGTTTGATATACTTATGTTTTGACCTGAATCACTGTATGCATCCAATTTCAGTGTACCTACTTCTAAAGGGCAGGGCAAGAGCAGTGTGTAGGGTAGGGACCCCATGTAAATCCCCCCGCCGCCTCCTCCTTTGTGGAGGGGGCCAAAGCTGCTTCTCCCCCAGGGACATGTGGTGTGCTGCTGCGGAAGATGAATGGGACGGCCATCATCCAGCTGCCCTCTAAGAGGCAGATGCAGGTGTGTGGGGGGGGGTACAGGTGGGAGGGATTGGCAAAGGAGGAATTTTTGGAATGTATTTTTCCTGGTTGGGGATAGCTACCAGGTGTTTTATGCTACCAGGAACTGCTTCGGGTTGGGTCTGCCCTTTGCTGCCACTAGGCATGCCTTGTCAGGCTGGCACCAGACTGGAATAGAGAACAGTGTCTTTCATTTTTCAGCTATCCAGTTGCAACTGTAGGACCCATACCTAGGGTTCCACTATACTGTGCTTTCCACTCTCCCCTCTCTTCTCTCATTGAGTCTGAGAAGCCCACCAAGAGTCCATGCCCTCAACATTGTCAGGCTTTCTCCTCCCACCATGTGTTCTTCTCCGTTTGCTCTATCAGGTGCTGGAAACGTGCATGGCAACAGTGGGCCGGGTATCCAATGTTGACCATGACAAAAGGGTCATCGGCAAGGCTGGGCGGAACCGCTGGCTGGGCAAGAGGCCTTCCAGCGGGCTGTGGCACCGCAAGGGGGGCTGGGCTGGCCGAAAGATTCGGCCCCTGCCCCCTATGAAGAGTTATGTAAAGCTGCCCTCAGCTGCTGCGCAAAGCTGATATTCCTGAACTGTAATAAAATGGCCCTCTATTTTTGTTACTGTTACTGGGTGTTTTTTTCGGGGGAGGGTGGTACAGACTGGACCAGGGGGAAGAAACGACTGGAGCGAACAAGTGTGGGAGGAGGAGACAGGAAAAGGACTGTATGGGGCAAAGAAGGGCTGTGTACAACCCCCTCTTTTTCCTCTCCCCTGTTATTTCCGAACTCTCACCCCAGGTCAGTCCCTTTGTCTATAATGGAGGAGGGGAAATAAATGACCTCCAGAATCTTTCCAGTTCTGGTTTTGGGAGACAGGGAAGGAACTTCCGGCGACAGGAGAAAGGACAAAAAGGAAGAGGAAAGGGCGGCGCGGAGGAGGTGAAGCGGCCGCCCTTCGCTGAGGTGGCACTAGCGGCTCCGCCCCAGCTCGCTCCTCCCAGGGCTCCTCGCTTTCCGCTAGGTCCGGCAGAAAAGAATCTCTCCGGGCGGGTGGCGGAGCCCCCGAGGATGGGCAGGCCGCGCCGCTGGCCCCTGCCAGGCCCCACCCCTGCAGCCTCGGACTCTCGCGCGTGCCTGTGGCGACAGTGGCCCAGCCCCAGGGTGTCGGGTCCCCGCGTGCCACGCCCCCTGCCCGCCCGGCTGCCCCTCAGAGGCACGCCCCTTGCCGCCTAGACTCCTTATGCGGGCCCAGACCCGGACCAAATCTCCGCCAGCGTCGCTGCCATCGCCTGCCCCGCGCCCTAGCTCTGCAAAGGACAGGCCTCGCGCCAGGACCCCATCGACTTCTGAGGTGGCCAGAGCCCCGCCGCGGCCCCCTACCCCTACCTGGGTTGTCGTCCGCGCACTCGCCCACCGATTTTCGCGCTCACCCCATCTCGCGCCCCTCTATCCCAGCGTGCCTCGGTCTTCCCAAGTTTATTGGGCCTGATGCCCCACTCTCCCACCTTGCCGCGCGTTCCCCTCTTATCGAGTCTTTGACCCTCGGTCACCAAGCCTCGCGGCCCTCACCTGCCGGGTCTCCTGTGCACGCTCTCCTGGGCCTAGCGTCTCCCCAACTGGCCTTGCGGCTCCAGCTCATCGAGTCATAGGCTACTCCAGCCCACCAGCCAGCCCCTCGTCCCAGCCATCGGGCCTTGCCTCCCCCTCCTCTCCACCAGTTCTCTGAGTCCCTTGCCTCTGCCATTCACTCTGTTGCTTCAGCCCTCAGAGCCAGCACTCTTTCCCACACACATTCCACATACTCTGTGTCTCATTCCCCATCCCCCCAAACACACACCTCTCTGGGCTTCACACAGCCCCTTCCCAGGACTGCTGTGGCCTGTCCCAAGGCCTTGGGATTCACCTGTAACTCCCTTCCCACTGCTCTAAACCAACCTATCCTGGGCTGCAGGGCCTTGGAGACCCTCCTTTCAGCCCCCAAATTTTGCGTTCTCTTAGAACAAACACCCCAGTATTCCCGTGCTCAAGCCTGGCCTCACCCAGCCTGCAGCAGCCACCTCCTGGCCACTGCGTTACCCCTCCCTGCCCCGACAGCTGTTGCCACATTTGCTTCCCCAACTTCCTGGATGTTTTTGATTTTCTAACTTCTCCTCTCACTCCAGCTTGCCTATTCCCTTTTCCTTGTGTGTCCCAGGTGCCAGGATGGTGGGCGAACTCCGCTACAGGGAATTCAGAGTGCCCCTGGGGCCCGGCCTGCATGCCTACCCCGATGAGCTAATCCGCCAGCGGGTGGGCCACGACGGGCATCCTGAGTACCAGATCCGCTGGCTCATCCTCAGGCGCAGCGATGATGGGGACGAGAGCTCTAGCCAAGTAGACTGCAAGGCCGAGCACATCCTGCTGTGGATGTCTAATGATGAGATCTATGCCAACTGCCACAAGATGCTGGGCGAGGACGGCCAGGTCATCGGGCCCTCCCAGGAGTCTGCGGGGGAGGCTGGGGCCTTGGACAAATCGGTACTGGGGGAAATGGAAACTGATGTGAAGTCTCTGATTCAGAGAGCCCTTCGGCAGCTGGAGGAGTGCGTGGGCGCCATCCCCCCTGCCCCTCTGCTTCACACTGTCCATGTGCTCAGTGCCTATGCCAGCATCGAGCCCCTCATGGGAGTCTTCAAAGACCCAAGGGTCCAGGACTTGCTCATGCACATGTTGAGCAGTCCTGATTATCAGATGCGCTGGAGCGCCGGCCGGATGATCCAAGCCCTGGCCTCCCATGATGCTGGTGAGGGCCAGGGTGGGGAGGACGGGGAAGCAGGAGAGGGGCTGGGTCGGCTCAGGGACTCACAGGACACTGTGGCAGGAGCCTCAGACGTCATCAGTACGTAAATGAATCTGTTGCTTTTCTCTTAGAGTTGGAAGAACAGCAGGTGGGAAGGGGTGTGTGTAGATATCTATGCAGAAAGAGAGAAGGCTTTCCGAATCCTCAGGAATCTCATTAATTGGCTTTCTATGCAAAAGAAGAGCTTAAGCTATTGCAGATTTATATCGTTGTTAGGTGCCATTGAGTCCAGTAGAACTGCCCTAGAGGGTTTTCTTGATTGGAATCTTTATGGAAGCAGATCACCAGGTCTTTCTCTTGTGGAGCCGCTGGGTGGGTTCCATCTGCCAACCTTTTCAACTGAATGCTTAACCATTGCGTCACCAGGGCTTGTATGTACGTGTGTATATACGTATGTATGTGTGTGTATATGTATATGTGTGTACATATATATATACGTATGTACGCATGTGAATAAGATAGTGAATTCTGGTTTTTAAAGCATATCATGTCATTCCTAGTGTGTGGTGGTAAAAGAACTAGACAGAGAGTAGAGGGTCTAGGAGAGATGTCTGGCAAGGGTGAGGTTAGGGAGCAGTTACCGACTGGGATGTGGGTTACAGGAACCCGGACCCAGATCCTTCTGTCGCTGAGCCAGCAAGAGGCCATTGAGAAGCACCTGGATTTTGACAGCCGCTGCGCTCTGCTGGCACTGTTTGCACAGGCCACACTCTCTGAACACCCCATGTCTTTCGAAGGCATTCAGCTGCCACAGGTATTCTGTGGGGAGCAGGGGGTGGTGAGAGCCATGAACAAGATCTAGGGACCAAGCCTTGGTACCTGTCTACAGAGGATAGTGTGGGGAGAAGGGTAAAGCTGGGCCAAGGTGGACGCAAGCCAAAGGTTGTATCCTACAGGTTCCAGGAAGGCTGCTTTTCTCCCTGGTGAAGCACTATTTGCATGTCACCTCCCTCCTGGATCAGCTGAACAACAGTGCTGCAGAACCAGGCACCCAAAACAGCTCTGCTCCCGAGGAGTTGAATGGGGAGAGGAGCCGGCTAGAGCTGGAATTCAGTATGGCCATGGGCAGCCTGATCTCGGAGCTGGTGCAGGCCATGCGCTGGGACCGGGCCTCCAGCGGGCAGGGGAGCTGGGCACGGCCTGCCTGTTCCATCTTCCAGCCCTACCCGACAGATGCAAGCCCAGGGCTCCCGGTTGCTCAGGCCCAGCCCACCTTCAGAAGGTCAAGGCGATTTCGCCCTCGCTCTGAGTTTGCAAGTGGCAATACCTATGCCTTGTATGTGCGGGACACCCTGCAGCCAGGAATGCGAGTACGCATGCTGGACAATTATGAGGAGATCAGTGCTGGGGACGAAGGCGAGTTCCGGCAGAGCAACAATGGCATGCCCCCTGTACAGGTGAGCGAGCGCGTGAGATACTGTGGAGACATGGCTGGGGCTTCCACGCAGGAGAAGACCTTCAGGGGAACTGGGGTGGTAAAAGAGAGTCAGTAGTTGATCCCCTCAAGGAGGGAGGGGAGGTGATTTGGAGGGCTGAGAAAATCTGGGAGGGGCTCAAGGAGCAGAAACTGGTATAGCAAAAAAGACTCACTTACCTAAGGGTGAAGGTTAGAGAGACGAGTGGTATAAGCTGTCAAGGATAGATGAGGTAAGAGGAGAGCCCTCCCCACTAGGGAAAGCAGGCCTCTGTGTGTGTATATGTGTGTGTGTGCGTGTGCGTGTGCGCGTGCGCGTGCGTGTGCGTGTGCGTGCACGCGCGCGGTCTATATGCTAGTGTTTTATTATCTGTTTTTTTTCCAAACCTGGTGAGGTGATCACTCTGCAGTCCCTATGTCCTCGTCATTGGGCCACAGCCAGTCACCCAGGCCCCATTAAGTGAGCGCCCTCCTCTCCTCCTCTTCTTTTCTCTATCCTTTAGGTGCTGTGGGAGTCGACGGGCCGTACCTACTGGGTGCACTGGCACATGCTGGAGATCCTAGGCTTTGAGGAAGACATTGAAAATGTGGTTGACGTTTATGCGTACCAGGGGGCAATGGGCAGCGGAGCTCTGGGTGTAGGTGAGCCCAGGAAGGAAGCGGGTCAGCTCTGAGCAGAGGAGCCGTGGTCTGGCTGGGTGGGCGGTGACATCCCTGTGACCCCCAACCTGTTTCCACAGCTCTCCCCTCTTGGCGGTGGAAGCCTATGACTGAGCTCTATGCTCTTCCTTACGCACTGCCTGAGGATGAGGATGCTGAGGAGATCGAGCACCTGACCCAGGCTGAGTGGTGGGAGCTCCTCTTCTTCATCAAGAAGTTGGATGTCGCCGACCATCAGGAGGTCATCCAGATCCTCCAGGAGAACCTGGATGGGGAGGTAGAGCTGGCCTGGAGACACACAGAGATGGGAGGGCTTCTCTGTGGCAGAGCACTGGGGAGGCTCAGGATAGGAAGTGAAAGTCAGATAGTGCAAGGGGACCCAGAGAAGGGATCTGGAGTGTTCCAAGGAGTTGAGGGGGGCTTTTTGGGAGAGCCAGCTGCCAGTCTGAAAGGTTCAGGATGGAGAAGGTATGCACATAGAGATCCCCACCCTACCAAGTGCCCCATGGAGCCTCTGTGCCAGCAGGGCTCCCTGCAGTGAGAACTTCTTCTGACAGATTCTGGATGATGAGCTCCTGGCTGAGCTGGCCGTGCCCATGGAGTTGGCCCAGGACCTGCTGCTGGCTCTGCCACAGCGGCTCGATGACAGTGCCCTCCGGGACCTACTCAACTGCCGTGTCTACAGAAAGTA